TTCTTTTAAACTTCCTTGTGAAGGTGAAGTTTCGTTCACCACGTAACTCTCAGGTTTATGATGATGGCTTGTATACTCCTGATCATCAGTTTCAATTTCAGCAGCCTGGTTCTGTGTTCTCAAATGAAAGTGTGAACTGTAACGTTTTGTTGTGACTTACTTGCTTATTTATTTGACAGCTGTGAAGTAAAATTTCTCTCAGACATCTTCCTCTATTTGAGTAATGTATTAGTTTTGTGACTTTCAATATTGACGTGTATCCTTGAGATGATCTCAGTTTATCTGTTCACTGTTTGCTATTCTGCGATACAAGGCCGACGAAACGAGTAACCCGGTACTCCTGCTCCTCCACTTTGTTAAACATGGTGGAAAAAAGGCTTTCAAGGATAGGTTTGTCAGCCGATAAAATAACAGTGGAACACTGGCCACAATTCGTTTGTCCCCCAAATGACTCAGAAGTTCTAAATTTTCAAGTTTCATTCACATTCAAAGGATGCAAAATACACCTAAAATACTTTTAAGCTAGAACCTTCAAATTATTCATAGACGGTATGTCTACCAAAAATGTATTCAGTTTAACATCGTTGATTATGGTCATGTGGCGGTGTTGGGAACACCGTCTATTTTGTTGGTTTATAAGTGTGGCCTAGTATTGATTTTCTTCTTACATAGCGAGACTGTTTCTTCCCTGCAGGCATGCTCTTTTTTCTAAGAAAAATGTCATATCTTTGAGAACAACTTTCACACGCCCCAGGAGAGGATAAACTTCATCCCATCCAACACAAACTTTAACCTTGCATTTTTACTTGAATTTCAATGGAAGAGTAATTAACATCAAATTATCGAAGAATGGAATATTCCTTATTATTTAAGTCAGTGCACCGTAAACTAAAAACTGTTTTCGTTAATCATGAAGCCATGTACCTCTATGAAATCATTTTTGAAAAGGAAGATCCACAATAACCATTGCTCTATCAATCTCCAAGGACAGCGTTATTTGCTCGCATTACTAATTTTTAACAAGACTCTGACCTATGACACAAACAAACATACTTACCGATTTCTTTTGTTATCTAGGAATAAAAAAGGAAACAATCAGTGAAACAAAGAAGGTGTTATTCTAAGCATTTATTAATTCAAACGGTTATACGGTAATCGTTCGGTATCGAATGTGCAACCCTAAGAGTATGTAGAGCGCTCGTAGCCTAGTATCATCTTAATAGTATGGTTCTACCAGCATTATTCAGCATGAGAGCTGATAAGTTATTTTAGTTCTGCATTCTTCACGCCTCTAATTTATCTATGAAGGAATCAAAGTCATTACGCCGATCATAAAAAGGCCCACGTGGATAAGTACTTAAGCTATGGTTTTGATATGTTAGCTCGACACAAACATCCTAACTAACAGTGTACCTCAAAGCAAGTACTTACGTTTGCATTTTTTTAAAAATTGATTTATCATAAATATTATTAGCAGTAAGGCGAGGATTCCAATGACGGATCCATATACTATGTCTTTGTTGATCGTTCCCTGCTCAGCCTGGGTACCTAAGAAAACAGACAAACGAAAAAAAAAACATTCCAAAGATAAAATAAAAAAATAAAATTTTAAACTTAGTTGAGAGGTATAATAAAAACAATCAGAAGATTTAGGTCTATTTAAATATATAACAGTTCAGTTACATTTTGATAAATGTCTTTAATAAGGTTTTTTTATCGAAGCTATTAAACAAGTATGACAAAACACAAGTTTTATGAATTTACTCGCATCGTTGATGTAGCAAACATTACTGTTTTATGTTACCTTTGTACTCAGAATATTCTCTATCATTGCATTTTTCACTTTCCAAGGATGGTATATAAGTTGTTTTTTTCCATGGCTCTGTGATGGATGTCGAATTCGGCGTCTGGAAAGGTTCAGTGGTAATCGACGGTGTTTGGGTCAATTTCGAGGTTTGAGGAATCATAGACACATGTGGTACTAATTTTGTTGGAAAACGTACTCCTGTTTGTTAAGAAAAGTATATTCGTATGTTAATTTTCTAAAACAAAATACCATTGTTTCCCAAGTATAACCAAAGCAACCTTTTATCAGTCGATACCCTTTGAAGCATTAGTCTAGAATAATTG